CCCCCCCCCACACACACACACACACACACATACACACACACGCACGCACACACACATACTACACCTCCCTTCTGCTAAATTTCAGGTGGTGGCAATTTTCGAGAAGATTTACTATGTCAGTGTGCAAACTAAACGAGTTCCCATCATCATTTATAATAAGTTACGCCGTGCACTCTTGCTTCCGCAACTCATTTCGGTTCAAGTAGGCGATGAGGCTGTGTATTAATTATTTATGTTTAATTGGCTTAATATCAATCTAATCTATCTAATATTTTCACCATCATTTTCATAAATTCTGATATTATGAATTACCATATTTTCCACGTAGCAATAACCCTAGTAAGCCTTGCATTATATTACAAAAAGCACTGGTGCTTTTTATTTCACTACCTAGGCTATTTGTTAAATACATAGCTGGAATAGAAATTAGGTAATCAACGCAGGTTTAAAGGAAAGCCGAGTCTATTGTGAATAGCCAGAGATATTTTGGGCACACTGTCGCGGGTAATAATTTGGCCAGATAGCGGTCTGGGTGAGAATATGCTGTCAGCCTCCTTTCAACAGTTTGCTGGGTGCGTTCAAAGAGGGCGCGCCGGAGGGTGGCACCTAAAGTGAGAAGCTGCGCGCCGCGTCTCCGTTTGATGCTGGTGCCTATTTAGGCTGCGATTGGGAGACGGGTGGAAGTGTGTCAAAGGCTGGTGGGCGTGAGTACACGTTCATAAGCCCCCAGTGTGCGCTCCATAGTATACTGAGAAGGATCGGGCTGAGACGGAGGAAGAGGCGAGAGGACGCGGCGGCTCCAGCTCAGTGGAGCTACTGGGAGGAGGCGCGGCTGGCTACTCCTGCTCCTCCATCCTATAGCACCTGTATGGACGACCACTTCAGCCTCCTCGCCTCGCCTCCTCCGTCGTCTACCAAGCACAGGGGCGGAAATATCATCAACCACGGATACACGGAGAACGACCACGAAACCATGACAGTTGTTGCTTGTGACAACATGCTGGAGGAGACCTCAGCCCTTCCCGGGCACCTCTCTTTGGACCGCTACGAGCCCGACCACGAGTGCTGCGAGAGGGTGGTCATCAACATCTCTGGCTTGCGTTTCGAGACGCAGCTCAAAACTTTTAACCAGTTTCCCGACACTCTGCTTGGGGACCCCAAAAAGAGGATGCGCTACTTCGACCCCTTGAGAAACGAGTACTTCTTTGACCGGAACCGACCCAGCTTCGACGCCATCCTCTACTACTACCAGTCGGGAGGGCGGATCCGGAGACCTGTTAACGTGCCCATTGACATTTTCTCCGAGGAGATCCGCTTTTATGAGCTGGGGGAAGAGGCTATGGAGAAATTCCGAGAGGATGAGGGTTTTATTAAAGAGGAGGAACGTCCCCTACCCAGTCATGAATTTCAAAGACAGGTGTGGCTCTTGTTTGAGTATCCGGAGAGCTCGGGTCCGGCCAGGGGGATCGCTATTGTCTCCGTGCTGGTTATTCTAATATCCATCGTGATATTTTGCCTGGAAACCTTACCTGAATTCCGTGACGATAAAGACCTAAGTACCGTGGCCCCACTCACTAACGGAACGGGGCCTTATCCTACAAACAGTTTCACCGATCCCTTCTTTGTTATTGAGACCCTATGCATCATCTGGTTCTCATTCGAGCTGCTCGTCCGGTTCTTTGCCTGCCCGAGCAAAGCCACCTTCTCAAAAAACATCATGAACATCATCGACATCGTGGCCATCGTGCCTTATTTCATCACGCTGGGCACGGAGCTGGCAGAGAGGCAGGGCAACGGGCAGCAGGCGATGTCCCTGGCTATCCTAAGGGTGATCAGGCTGGTGCGGGTGTTCCGCATCTTCAAGCTCTCCCGGCACTCCAAGGGGCTCCAAATTTTAGGGCAGACACTTAAAGCCAGCATGAGGGAGCTGGGACTCCTGATTTTCTTTCTTTTTATTGGGGTGATCCTGTTCTCCAGCGCCGTGTATTTCGCGGAGGCGGACGACCCCACCTCTAGTTTCAGTAGCATACCTGATGCCTTCTGGTGGGCTGTGGTCACCATGACCACGGTCGGGTACGGGGACATGCATCCCGTCACCATCGGTGGCAAAATTGTCGGCTCCTTGTGTGCCATCGCTGGCGTGCTGACCATTGCCTTGCCGGTGCCGGTCATCGTCTCCAACTTCAACTACTTTTACCACAGGGAGACGGAAGGAGAGGAACACGCTCAATACCTGCAAGTCGGCAGCTGCCAGCATCTGTCCTCCACGGAGGAGTTAAAAAGGACACGCAGCGCATCCTCCCTCAGCAAATCGGAGTATATGGTGATAGAGGAGGGGATCAACAATGCGTTCAAGCCGCCTAACTTTACCACTCAAAACAACCAGAACTGCGTTAACATCAAACAGATTTTTACAGACGTGTAACCCCTGTCGGGCAGGGATCGGGGATGATTATACTCAAATCACGACTTGTGCTTTTTTGCTCATGTTAGTTGTGACTTTGTCTGTGCAACTCTGTGGAGGCAACGCGATAGATTACGTGCCCTGTGGGTCCAGTGCGCCGAGTTATTTCGACCCGCCGTTCAGTTAGAAAGACGTGTCGAAATGTTTTTCCAACACGATCTCCTTGTGCTGCTTTTGTTTTGTTGAAGTTAAATAGAAGTCAGCAGTCGTTCTGTATGGTAGCTCTCGTTTTTATGTGTTGTAAACGAAAGAGACCATGTTTACTGTCAGTATTCTATTTGTAATGTGCAATTTACTTCGTATTTGAAGTGTCTTTAAAAAGCGTATAACCAATAATATATTGTAAAAATGAATGCAGCTAGGATGGAGGGTTCTTTCTAAGGCATTATAGTATTATTTCGACAGAGTCTTGAATATGGATTCATTTCAAATTTCCCATTCACCGCAAATTTTTGTTTGACCAACATTTGTTTCTAAAATTAACGTTCATCATTGACCGTTTGTTGTATGATAACTGAACATTTAAATTTGCGAACCAAACACAATTTAATTGTACACTTGTGTTATAGCTTAAGCGAAGCATAACTGTGTGTAATTGGTATAGATATATAATTCATTATTCTGGGTTTCCCCGGCACCTATATCGTTCATGACTAAACAATGTGTTTCCAAAAAAGCTTGACGTTGCGAAGATCCCACAGTAAGACGACGAAATAAGAAAAAAAAGAAACTGATGGAATCATTTTGGACGTCTCTCATGTGACGTACATGGAGAATAAGAAAGATGAAAGTGAAACACGCCTTTCAATGGATACTGCTAATCCCGCCTTGTGACACAGTCTCCATAGTTACCACAGTTTCCCGGGTAACCCCCTTTAATGTTGCCATGGCATCCTTCTCTGTTTCCACAGTAACCTTCCAGATGGTTCATAAAACTGACCTGCAAAATAAAAGGAGAGCGTCTCAGATGAAAAGGGAAGGCTGAACATCAAAGTTGTCATACAGTTTCAATTAAGTTTTTGGACATTGAAGTATAATGTATACAGGAACTGGACTTACGTGTAAACATGCGAGGGGAGGAGCTATGAGGCCGCATAAAACATGAGACTGAGTGACAAGAATGAAATGGTCAACAACTATGGCTTTATGCTGTTATTAAATAATGACAAATTGCAATGATCAGAAGACTAGATTTTTTAAGTCCAGTTAATTTGTTCTTAAAATGAGTGTAACAAGGTTCACAACATAAAACAACTCTCAACATAATGAACACGACATTGTTGTGCTTGCATAGTAAGTGTAATCATGTACAAACATGTTTTGGTCATAAGCAAGCTGAGGCAAGGGAAGTTTGTAAAATAACCTGAAATATCAGGAAAATTCATAAATGGAGAAAAAGTGCTATACATCCTGTATTAACCAGGGGCTGCTCTGTACCTTCAAATAGTTCAGTGACTGAGTATAAATTTATTCATAAATAATGCAAAATCACTCTTAAAAACACATATGATCTGATGTGCATTTACCTTTAATTGCCCTTCATTCAAATGTTATTATGGCTTTAACATTGTTTTTTGTCAATATTCATATTTCTTATATTCTCCTTATGGTCCTTTTCTTAAAATATCATTTTGGTATGGAAATAACACCTGGTCTATAAAGAACACAGGACTTATCTGCTTTTATGGCAGATTTTAAATGTAAACTGTAAAGTATTACGGAAGTATTATATATACAATGTCTTCCTTTGGGAAGTTTAATTTGTAAATTATTTGTAATTATGTTTCGCATGGCCAATAAGTTCCTTTAAAAAAGAATCATCCTGCAGCCCCTAAAAATATGACTGAACACTGCTGTCTGTGTACAGGTTAGCTGGGGATGGTGTGTTATCTGTAGATTTCCATATTAGGGATGTAATGCTTAGCCATTCATAATTAACTAAGGAAACTTGGTAAATGTAATTTCAGACTTCATAACTGATGTCATAAAAATGCCATTAAAATGTCATTCTATACAAACTTTTTACCTAATGTACTGTTAGACAAGATCAAAGGAAGCATTGATAAAAGTTATTGGCGAACATTACATTATTATATGATCAGTAGATTTAGTGATCTGTAGATTTAGTGATCAGCTTTGTCATTCGGTCAATTGATTACTGCATGCTAAAGTATTGTACAAGTGCTGCCACTGCATTAATTTTAAAATAAAATTTGTATGTGTTATTTTCCAACACACAAGTGGAAACAAGAACACTGATCACAGAGGTGGAAGGCAGCGTTGTTCACCAGATACTGCTATACATGCAGGTGTGAATGTCTTGTTTTGAACTATTATTGTCAGATTGCAGCTGAAAATTAGGTGCACCTATGTGTCATGGAGAATTTTATACCAAACCACTAAAGGAAAAGACCAACAAAACATAGGGATGTATAACTGTACACACAAAATCTCTTGCACAATATTGCAATATGTACCTTGTGTCCAGATAGTATGCAATACTTGTGGTAAGAGTACAAAGTAGGCTGTACCATTTTATGGGGATCTACCACATGTGGTAAAGCATTTGGGGAACATAGAGGATGTGATTTAAACCCGCTTTGTATGGCTCCCAGGTGTTAAACTCTTCAGCAAGGTACTTCAGCTGAATTTATTTTGTGGAAATAAATTAGTAAATGTGCAAGTAGCTAAACAAGATTGAAATGTCTTCTTGGCAAACGTGATTCACCAAAACATTCCACAGCGGGGGTGTGATGAGTGTGGGTGTCATCTTGGCTTTGTAGTGAACTGTGCAGGTTGTAGAGAGGAAAATGAAAGATCTTCACTGGGATCACTGTAGAGGACCAGCCACATGTGCAAAATACAGATAGAACTACAACAGCACAAAAAGCACAGGACCGATTAGTGAACCATTATGGAAAAGTCAGTAGGTACGCTGTGTTGGGTGACTGACGTGAAATGCTTTTACCCCAACCTGCCCTCCTTTCTGCAGGAGGGGAGGCTGCGAGCTGAATCAAAAGCCCTGGAAAAGCAAGCGCTCCTATAAGGACTCACCACAGACGCTGGTCATCAGTGCTTTGGCCCATTGACACTTTTTAGACGGATCAGTTTTGTCATTTGTATTATAACTTCTTTTAATGACTCTGACTCTGTGCTTAGTGTGCTTATTTTCCAATTCCTTCATAATTACACTTAATATATACATGAATAAATAAATACACACAGAGCAAATTTAATTTTCCAGGCATCTGTGTTGTCAGTATGTGAAATCTGACAACAGCCATTATAGGCTATTACATATCATTACCCTGTTGACCTTGTTTGAAAGCGGTCACTGCTAAATAGCACTGCTATAAAACATCTACAGTCACCTGGATGAATGGTATGCTGTGGTCGAGGTCAGTATATGACAGTATCTCAAAGCAGGCACCAAGCACAAAGAGCAAACAGACGCATGATTGGCAGACACCTCGCTGATGGTGGGAAGAATGACTCACCACAACACAAACCTTCTCAAATAGAGCATTTCACACGGACACCTGTGTCTGGCTGTTTTTCTTTTAATTGACATTTTTATGTCTTAAGTACCACTGCATCATTTAATAATAATGCTTTTTAACAGTCACGGCTGAGCCACATGTTTCCAGTCAAAGAAAAAAATGCATTTTTTAAAACAATAACATGAGATGAAATATTTTTTACTCCTCTTTCTTAAAATAACTCAAGGTTAGCTTTTAAGGTCCATTTTATCCATTTGACGTTAACAGTAGCAAAATGACCAGATTCATTACACTTTACATGACTTTGAAAGAAAACGTCTCATTTTAATCTCTTAGATTATTCTCTCTGAGTGTATGACCGCAGATCGGCTTTGAAGGTACTCTTCTGTGATTTGTATTGCTATGTATTGTATCAATGCAGGCAATTCTGACAGACCTAGGTTTACAAGTAAATATCCCATAGCACCTGGAATCCTGACCTTTGACCTCTGTTCGAGGTGATCTCCCCTGCTCCACATGACAATGTTGATTATGGAAACGGCCTGCATCCACATGTATAGTTACTGAGGATTTTATATGGCAATCTGATTGGTGCCTCATTTCTCTTTCATTCATGCAAAGCTGCTGGCCTGGTCACCCTTTTCCTATTTTACGTGAGCCAGCAGCAATCTAAGGAGCAGTAGTAATGCATTTTCCTCTCTGCTGCAAAAGACACAAGCTCGATTCGCAGACATCTTGCTCAGCAGCTTGCAGCTCTCAGATACTCTGTGTCTAGTTATGCAATTTTTGACATTTAAATGTCTCAATTAACATTTTGCAGAGGTGGAGATTTCAGGTCCAGAGAGTACAAATCCAGACCAAGATTTTGTTTCAACCAACCAGTTAAAAGGGTATAAAGAGTCAAAGTCACAGAGTACTCAACTCGTTGGTTGAAACAAAATCTTGGTCTGGATTTGTACTCTCTGGACCTGAAATCTCTGCCTCTGACATTTTGAGAATGTTAATTTTTCATTGGGCTGGTCACTGGACTGGGCTAGTTACTGGGTATGCTAGGGCATTGGTTCTGGATTTTGCTTACACATAGTCACCGTTAAATGCATACAGAATAAAGTTTATAATAATATGTATCCTCTCACCATAGAAACTAGATGCATGAAATGAAAACACAAATGCTGACAAAAGAGAATTTAATTTAGAAAGATGCAGTAGGCATTTCTTCTGCCTGTGTATTTTTTCCAGCTATACTGCTTCACTACGCCTGAATGCTGTTTCTGTAATGCAACCAACACCAATCTGCCAAAATGGGAAGGATGGAGGGGTAAATGTCCCTAATGAATACTGATACATATAAAGTTATTAAACCATTCATGTAGCATGGATTTGTAAATCAGAGGTCCTGTTTAGGTAACTTTTGGCTTTCTTTGTGAATCCAGCAAGGAGACAGGAACAGTGAGTCTGATGAAGTTATATAAGTTACAAAAGGGTCGAGATAAATAAGCAGAGGATATCCATGGTGCGGAATTGGCCAGACAGCAACAAAGCAAAAGTGTTGTTTTAACAGCTTCCAGCGGGATGTGTGCAGTAAATGTTCCAGAAAGCACTGTGTTTGGGCAGGTACTCTTTCTAATAGAAATAAATAACATCGATTCAGCCATATTTACCAAACTGGTTACCTTTGCAGAAAACATGAAATTATTGCGGAGGACATTAACATCATAGAATGTGTAGGCTTTTTACATTTATTTAAATGTATGTATGTTTTCATTTTAGTGTATTAATCCATCCATGTTCCGTTGTGTTTATGTAGTGCAAGGTTAGAGAGAGCCTGGAACCCATCCCAGGAAGCATAGTGCACAAGGCAGGGGACACCCTGGGCAGGATGCCAGTCTGTGACATGGCACACATGTACTCATGCACACAATATGGGCAACAGAGAGATGCCAGTTCGCTTAGCTGTGTGTTTTTTGGACTGTAGCAGGAAACCAAAGACGCCAGAGGAATCCCTCGCAAAAGCAAAGAGCTAAAAGGGTGATTGGAGGCCCAAACCCCGGAGGCTTGAGGCTCGTGCTGCACACTGAGGAACCGTGCGGCTGAAATGCATCAATGTGCTGGGAAAGGCAAGAATGCACTTTGGAGTCATTTACGATTAAGGTTCTACAAACACAGCCGCATTAGAGTTCTGTGGATCAGTTAGAAACATTAAATCTTTTTGGAATGTTTTTAGACAATGGTGACTAGAGGGAGTGTGAGAGTGTGGGTGGCATAGAAATAATAATAATAATATTAATAATAATAATGATAAATGATTGTTGCTGTTGTCATTATCATATTTGATAATGTGACGACTTTATTGCACTGCTGATTCATGGCCACACGGACACACACAGGGGATTTTACTGCAGGTCCAAAGAAAGAAAGAAGGTCATTACCCAGAGGACAGCGGGAAATTTGGTTGTACGGAACAGCCATAGATAAAGTGTCAAAAAAGCAATCAAATATGAGAAATTGGGGCAATATAGATTGAATGTATGAGGAGATCTTCATAATACTTATGCTGTCAAATATATTTTGCTAGTAAGTCGTCATCTGCATGTTTTGTGTCTTTTTCCATATCAGGAGTATGCAGCTTTTAGGTCGCTTATCATTTCTCTGCATTACTCAGACTGAGAAAAACAAATGGAAACAGTGTGTGTGTGTGTGTGTGCTTCTGTGTGTGTTCCCAAGTGAGAGAGCTAAGAGAAGGGATTCTGACAAGCACGGACCAGCACAGGGCAAGTGGAATGCCATCCTGTCCTTGTGACTTCCAGCTGCCCTAAGGAGCTGGCCTGATCTCTCCCCCATCTGTAGCTGACACATGGTGTGTAGGTCTCCTAAACACAGAACTGAGGGACACGTGATGATTGTGGGAAGGGAGGTCATTGGGAAGTGAAGTGTGTCACCTGCGGTGTCTTCAGCAGCTTTGGCTTGGGTGGAGTCCCTCTTATGTTCTGTCCAAGACGTACAGATCATCTGTTCCTTCTCTTCGGGACCCAACAAAAGTCACGCGGTGACACAGGAGAGCTCCCCGACACAATTCTGTCGGGACGCATACCCTGCATTAATTTACGCCAATTAACACTGCTCTGTCTAAAAACACCCCGGCTGCTTTTTTTGTACGTTCTGAAACACCCGTTTCCTCCCGATCTGAGACTAGTTCACTGTGGGGTTTGGAGAACAGAGTACAGTGATCTGATTTGTGGACGCTGGGCGCACTTAAAAGGATTACATTTGCTGGGCAAATGTTTGTTATGGTGTGACGTCTACTTTATGGAACACTGCTCTTCACAGACTACTGACTGCCCCCTTACTATTGCAATCAGGATAGTAGCTCCAAGTCTCTGTGGGTGGGCTAGTTGGAGACCTGACAGGCTGTAGGCGGAGCGTGAGTCCCCGGGGCCTGCAGACCGGCCACAGCCCTGCTCCCTGTCGTTTAAGCTCCGAGGTTCTGTGAAGAGCGGTGCTCGTTAGCGGCTTTGCCA